AAAAACACAATGGACATACCATGTACCTACATGCATCCCTGTTGGCATTGGCTTAAAAATCACCCAAAGTGAATGTGCAGCACAAGTACTATAGTGTATACATGTCATTATGAAATGATTTATTCTCACATACTTTTTTGTACAATGGTTGTAATAAACGTATACTTTTTTTTAAAATGTCACTTTTTTTTATCTACTTTTTTTCCTACTTTAGCATTGCAATCCTTTCTGTTATGACTTTTCTCTCTTCCACAGCCATGATTGTAATTAGTGAGTGACCGACTTCCATCATGGATGACTTAGGTTTGGATACAAAAATACATAACACAATGGAATTCATTGCTGTTAAGGAAGAAAACACAAAAGAGATTGGCAAGCAGGAATTCCAGAAAGTAAAGGAAGAAGTTATTGATAGTAGAGATGAAGAAAATGCTATATATATAAAAACTGAAGATGAAAATCCAGTGTCCAAAGAAGTCAGAAGTCTAAGTGAGGAAGCATTTGAGAATGATTCAGTAGAGGATTGTGATGAAGGGAATACTATCTATATAAAGACTGAATATAAATGTTTAGTTTTGGAAGAAGTTGAAGGTCTTGAAGAAGTAGTAGTTGAGACTGACTCAGTAGAAACTGTTGGGCATTTTGATGAAGGGAATGCTATCTTTATAAAGGAAGGAGATGGAAATGCAAAAGATGAAAATCCAGTGTCTGAAAAATTAAAAAGTCTTGATGAAGAAGCACTTGAAAATTGCTTAGATACTTTCATGTATGATGAAGATCCCTTGTCATCGGAATCACTTGTGGCAGAGGATCATGTGAATACGTGCTCCTCTGATGGCGGTCAGCTTGTACGATCACTTAAGAATGAGGCAAAAGGGAAACATTTATGTGACCTATGTGGTAAGAGATTCCCTTTTCTGAGTAAGCTTTTGCGTCATATGAGGGTACATAAAAATGAGAAACCTTATAACAGTGAAGGACACAAGCAAGTATTCTCTAATCAAAATAGTGTTTTGAAATACACGGACACACATACCAATGATGGGCATTTCACCTGTGACATATGTAATAAGTCATTCACCTTAAAAGATGATATAGCGATGCACATGAGAATACACAGAAAGATGAAACCTTACACATGTGAGGTATGCAATAAAGTATTATCTGGAAAAAGTGGTCTAGAGAAGCACATGAGAGTACACACAAAGGAGAAACCTTATAGCTGTGAGGTTTGCAGCAAGGCATTCTCTCAGAAACCCCATGTAGAATCCCACATGCGTACTCATCTACGTGTTAAACCTTTCAACTGTGAGGTATGCAAAAAGCCATTCTCCTGTAAAAGTAGTCTAACTAAGCACATGAGATTACATACAAAGGAGAAACCTTTTAGTTGTAAAGTTTGTAGGAAGGTATTCACAGTGTACTATCATCTTCTTGACCACATGCATATACATACAGAGAAAAAGCCTTTTTCTTGTGATATATGCACAAAGGCCTTTGCTAGGAAAGATGATTTAGCAAGACACATTAGAGTACATACACATGGGAAGCCTTATACTTGCAGTGTATGTAGTAAATCATTCTTATGGAAACACAATCTAGTGGTGCACATGAGGGTACATACAAAAGAAAAACCTTACAGTTGTGCCACATGTAGTAGGGCTTTTTCAGAGAAATGTAAGCTAGTGAGGCACATGAGAGTACATGCAAAAGAAGAGCCTTATAATTGAGAAATATGTAACAGAACTCTTTTAACCACCGTGTGGTGAACCTCACAAAATCACACAAATATCTAAAACCATTTATTAATGAAAGAGGTGTAATGGAGCATTTTCACAGGAAATAGCACTAGTAGTACATGACTTTACATTTCATTCCTTTAAAGGTCCCTTGGGATACTTATATTACAGTGATAGAGGACATATATTTTGGTGTCAGCTGCATCAAAACCTAGCCATGTCCTCTTTTCCTTCTGTAAACATATGATGTGAAACATGGCTTCTTTGTTCTTTAAATGAACCACATGTAAAGTACTTGGTATTGATAGAAATGTATAGAGCGTATGATATATTTAAACAGCATTAGAATCTAATCATAAATCCATAAGAACATAATTATTATCTTTTGATAACCTTTTTATTATATTTTTAGTAATAATTCTATTGAGACATGTTACAGATTGCACATATTGCTTGTTTATTTAGTATACTTATATATGCTTTCCATTGTTAACTCAGTATGTATGTAAATATCCATATGAATCTTTCTACACAAGGAAAGTTTTAGAAGAGTGTATGTTGTTTACATAACATGCTCTGGGCCGACCCCTCTAGCCTGACTGCTGAGCTTTAATTGACATGTGGAGGTTGTGCCAGGAATTGTTAATAGGTTTAACAGAACAATGTATTTTCCACTCAGTTAACCCTTACCCTATATGATTTGCAGCAGAGTACACAGATCAACCATATCTATTATATGGCTTCTCTCATTCATACTACTCTCTTGTCAGATTTATTTATGCTACCATATTAAAGTATTCCACATTTGCAATACATCTCTTGTGACTACTGTAAAAGTATTATTGAATATCTATAGTAAATACATAAATTCACAGGCCTAAAGGTTTCATTTGAGTGCTCTGCTTTGGGGTCCCTAGGTAATTGTAACAGGATATGGAAGGTCTTTTGATGTTGCTCTTAAGCTTGGCTCTATTTGCATTTGTATTCCCGTGAAGGAGAGTGAAGGAGTGGGAGGAGGGGGGGGGTGCACTGGTGCAGTAGGAGACGTTCAGGCCACTCGTTTGTATCGATGCTAAATTCGTCTGCTATACTACCATGGAGTACTAAAGCACTATATATATAGTTGTGGTCTGTTGCTTTATGAGTCAAACATATTTACAGTTTTGTTTTTTGTTTTATTTCCTTTTTATGTTTAAGAGACAAAATTCCATCCATAATGCAGCAGGAAGCAAACCCCAGTAATATTTGTGTTAAGAATGAGCCTCCTCATTCCTTCCCACGACTTACTCTCAACGTTTGTTTACTTGCATAACTGCATGCCCGACTCTTTTTTTTGCACAAATATTTCTTAAGGCAACTTTACCATTTCGCTCATGTAAGAAGCGTTCTCTTTCGATGGAAAAAAAATGTGAGAGATACGAACAATCGCCTGTCTGTCTCATGATATTCACATGTATTTTACTTCCATTGAAATAAAAGTACTTCATGAGCAATAGGTTTATTATTCTGAAAATTTGCAAGGTGGGAATGCTTGCAAATTTCTATTTTCAAAACCTTGATATTTTGAAAAACTCACCTTGAATCCAGCAAAGCAAGGCAACAAGCAACTGAATCGCAGACATAAAGCAACATCAAAGGTTAAACTGCGACTGTGAAAAATATCTCGCTTGGTAGTCTAGTTTCCTCGTTTTCATAATTTTACTTAAATGAAATTATTTAAACGTATTTATAAATCACCGATGTGCGCATCTCTGTTCTGATTCAAGTAAAAAAAAAATCTGAAATGAAAATTATTAATGTGAAGGAAATTCATCTTTATGAGAAGGCATGGCTTTATCTAGTCTTATGGGCAGAGCATCGGCGCTGTCGGGCGCACGAAAACACATCATATCAAAATGTCTATGCTTGAAGAAAAGCCCTGTCTCACACATGTCTGCCTCCGCGATAGTACAGTGGTAACGTGTCGGCCTCTCATCCGACGGGTCGGCATTTCGCGTACCGCTCAGGTTCAGCTGTCACCTGGAGGTAACTGCTATGGTAGGGCACCAGTTGAACCGCCCCTCAAAATAAGGACTAAGCTCAGTTAAGTCAGCACCACCTGACTACACGTTGATCGAATCGTCATTAATGGGCACAGGCTTGGCTCGGCGAGTCTCAGCTTTGCATATCTGACTTATCCTAACACAGACTTGGTACAACGTTTTCTACACGTATAAGAAACAATATAATTATAATGGTAATTGAGATTTGAATGACTTACACCTAATAATAACTATATATAATGACTATTATAATGGTAAATGATGATACAGTAATTATAATAAAGGATAGTAATAACAATGACATTGATAATAGCAGTGGCAATGATAAAGATAATAAAATATAGTACGTTCATAGTACTTGTGGAGCCTCATTCGAAGGATCACATGCCGCCTAACAGTGTTTTCAAATTCGAATGGTCGTGTTTATTCATCCAACTGCTTTTCTATAGATTTAGTATGTTTAGTTTATTATCTTGTTTTTATCACAAAATAATCATAAACAGTCCCTTAGGATTATAAGGATAAATGTAAGTCACGTAAACAAATTCTAACGATTGTTTATACCCATTTATCAATATTGTCTTTGCTGTTAACTGTATTTATTTTTAGCGATTCCATGAAGCCTGAGAATAAATGTTATATATTTATATATAACAAACCATTTTCAATTGCGTTTCTGAATGGCCAGGTTAGAACGCCTGTGTGAGCGGAGCCTAAACTTGAGATAATTTGAAAATCAGCAGCAAAAAAATCAACTACTTTTAAGAAACAACAGATTGGGAAGCAGATAAACCCTAATAAGTAATTGCAGTTTGTAATTATAAAACCTTGTGATTTACAAAAAAAGATAGGGTTGCTGCAAAAGTTAAAACCAAAGAATTTGTCAGCCCACCTTGAATCCTGAGTAAACACCAGTCAACAAGCAACCATTCCCCAAACCTCCCACCTTATGTTGAATCTGGCACCTTCCCCAGTTCGAATTCCGTTGTGGTCGAAGTACAGCTCACCTCGAGACATGTACTACATGGTACCACATTCTTCATCAACTGTTTTCTCTTGGCAGACGTGGGAACATAGGGAAAAAAAGGGTTTCCTCTCTTATCGCACTTTCCATGTCTAGGTAACCTCTTCTAATTCAGCTTTTCCTCAACTTGAAGGTGTCCCACAAGGTAATGTGCTCCCCACCACCTCATTCCTTCTTGCTGTTGTGGTTTGGTTT